GAGAAAGTTATATATGTATATAATTTTTTGTGGGTTTGACAAATGTGATAACTTCACATAAAAGTCATTTTTCATTAATTGTAACTTGAATTATATTGGAACAACATCTAGAATTCTTAATGATNTAATTTCACCGACGTTTCGACAAAATCTCATTTGTCATTATCTAGGTGTGCTGTTACGTGTTCAGAAGTTAGTTGACCCTGCTCGACTCACTTCTTACTATACTGGTAAAATGGTATTCGTTACGTATTCAGAAACAGAGTGTCCATAAACTCTCTACTACCTACTACTTAAATGTTGTTGAGTTTTACCTGAGTTCTTCTTCTTCTTAGTTGACCTCATATCAATTCAGTAAGGGTTCGGTATTAAACGAAAAGTTGTCTACAACTATCCTTATAGTTTGCCCAACATAAAAACCGCAAAGATCTCTTTTGCAACAAGAAGACCTGATTCAATAGTTGTTTACTACAATGAGACTCTACTAGGGCAAAGTAAGTCGATTTAGTAGTGAATATATCAAGTTCATTGGAGACAATTCTAACAGCAAATGATCCTGAAGCCAATTTTGTGCATAAAGATGTGATATGTTCTTTAAATTTTAATTTATTGTCAATATGCAGACCAAGAAATTTTGTGCAAGTCGTTTCTTCTATCTTCCTACCATCTAATAGCAAGTTGTCATNTTTTTGTAACGTAGTCAGGAAACATCCTGTATATTAAGTCTATACCGACCATAAGATAGTATAGAGTTACGCCTGAAGATGCTATTATATAGCGAAACACGTGTTGCATTTTTGTGAAACTGTGTAGTGAAAATCTCATGATGAAGAATTTGTAAATTATTTAATTTGTTCAATTTCATTTTCCTTTCAGATTTTTTTCAAGCTCTCAATCCCGTATACGTGAAGATTCCTGACGATGAGAAAAACATCTATTTGAAGGATTATTTTGAAGAAATCAAGTCCGGAAAAGCGTTCTCTATAAGTCACAATGATAAAACTAGTGAAACAGGAGTGACGGTAAAATATAAGATTATGTTTTTTAAAGCAACAAAACCACTTGTTTAGATTTTGTCTCTTCAATTTATGGAAAATTATTTGGAATATATTTTGCGTTCCATTCTTTATTATGATATAATTGTGTGCTGCCTAAAATCTAATTTGTTGAATTGATTCATTATATGAAAGTAAACGTATCAATTTGTGTATGAAAACCACAGAGCTTGTTCAAATTTGTTGGAGAAACTCTATACATGAAATATAACCCCTTCAATTCAAATAATTTTATTCTTCTTATCATCTAAACTATGCAACCTAATATGTCTCAATGACGCTCGAGTAAATCCCCATTTTGCATCGTGGGCTCCCCTGATATAGAAATAAACTCAAAATTTACTCACTGGAACTCCTCTGTCAATGAGATAATTTTGATGTGAATGAGCATTTCATAAAGTTTGATTTTCATTAGTTTTTTTTATTGTTGATAGTAGGTACTAATAAAAATGATTCTGGTGCATTTGGCACCGATATATATCTAGGAATCACGTATGTAGTGCATGTACTTACAATATTTTTTATTTACGAGGGTTGCCTTTTATTTTTCGGGATTTGGCAACCCTAGTGTTGCAATCTGGCATTTGACAGCTCTATCGTAAAGTTGGACATTTTTGAGCTTATACGTACTCAGAACGTTTTGACATACGCGCGCTATTTATGTTGTTTACAGTAACTTCAAAGATTCATCTCGGCTCAAAAGTGAAATAAAATTGTGAACATTTTCGTGCGATTATTTTTTACAACTTTCGACGTGGATTAACTCAGCAACAGTGCATGGATGAACTTAATTCAATTTTTGGCGATGAAGCTCCATCAAGGACCAGTGTTTCCACTCCAAGACGAATTTCGTGAAGGTCGTCCAAAATCAGTTGTTGTTCCGAAAACCATTAATGCTGTACGCGAACTGATATTGCAAGATCGTCATGTGACCTATCGTGAGATTGAGACAACCATAAGCATACATTCAATATTGCATAAACATTAAACTGTCAAAAAAATTTGTTCGCGTTGGATCCCATACAATTTGTCAATCGCTCAAAAAAAGGCTCGTGTCGATTGGTCGAAGGAAATGCTCAAAAAATACGATCGCGGTGCTTCGAAACATGTCTATGACATCATAACAGGTGATGAATCGTGGATTTACGCGTATGATTTCGAAAGAAAACGGCAGTCGACTGTATGGGTGTTTCCAGACGAGCCAAATCCAACAAAAGTTGTTGGCGCACGAAGCACTTCCAAGCAAATGGTCGCCTGTTTTTTCGAAAAAACTGGACATGTCGCAACCGTACCACTAGAACAACGCAGAACAGTCAATTCTGAGTGGTACACAACCATTTGTTTGCCAGTTGTCTTCCAAGAAATCAGGAAAACCAACCGCCGAAAACGGATCACTCTTCACCACGTCAATGCGAGCTCTCTCACATCGGCTCAAACAACTGGACTTTTGAGCACGCAAAACATCGATTTGATGACTCATCTGACTTGACACCGAATGACTTCTTTTTATTCCCGCACGTAAAAAGCAAACTGAGAGATCAACGTTTTTCGACACCTGAAGAAGCGGGTGCTGCATGTTTTGGAGATACCTCAATTAGAGTGGCAAAAGTGCTTCGACAATTGGTTCAAACGCATGCAAAAGTGTAT